TAAGAGTATAGGACCGTTTTGCAGCTGACACGATGTTTAAAAGTGATTGAAATGGACAAATTGAGAACAACACATTTTCTAAATGTACAATATTTGTTCCTTGGACAGAACAGTACCCTTAAATGGTATGTACCCCAAACAGTATCACCCAAAAATAAACATTCTGGCATTATTTATTCACAGTCATGTAATTTTAAACCTGTATGGCTTTTTTTTCATCTGTGGAACAACTGCATTTGTCTATGTAATTAAAATGGGTAAATGGGGTAAAAAACAATAATAGACAATGGTGACTTTTATTATATGCAAAAGAAAGAATGCCATACAGGTTTGGAATGACATGATGGTGAACAAATGACGACAGAATTTTCATTTCTGAGTGAACTGTCCCTTCAAGGAATCCTTTAGAAGCAGATAAGATATAAAGGTATACTTTTGCAGGGTAATGTTCCAGTGCAGTACTGTCGAACCTTAATAGTCAGATTTTTTTTCTGAGAGTGCACATCACCAAAAAGTCAAACTGACAGTCAGATTGCATGCATCTCTACTAATGCAAGGGTTTGTGCCAAATTCCAAGTCAAGAGGTTAAAAACACTCAGCTTGCCAAGACAAGCACTGAAGAACTTCTACACACTGAAAATAATCTACATAAAGAGTATGCTGGCAGTTGCTGCTAACTGCAGGTTAAATAGGTACTATCCTTCATTCCTTCCCCCACTCTTCCTCTCTCCGTACAGATACCTGGCTCACTCCACTGCAGCTGCAATGCAGAGCTCTCGGCTCACACATACACATGCCAAAAGGAAGACAGAATAGCAACTGGAATATGTTAGATGTGGACTGAGAGCTGTCCTCAGGTGTTACTGCTCATTATTGCAAAATGAGGACACCAATACAGGTTTTTATGGGTCTTTTTATTTGCTACAGGAAGAGGTTAACATAAACCTGTGTGTTTTATTTAGATAAAGAGGCTGCCTGTCAGCCAAAGAGGAGTGGGCAGCATAAAGAGTGATTCCATTGAAACGCAGCTGAAGTACCGTTTTCTCTTGAATTATTCACTCACGACTGTTACAGTATCTGTGAGAAATTCAATCTACCAAACTGGGCATTCAGTCTCCTGTCAAACATTTCTCGTGTTTCTACACTGTGTGGAGAGGGCTTGCCTACAGTGTCTTTTAGGACCAGGGTTTTTGAAAGATTCAGGCATATAGTCTGTATCTTTGCTCTTACTATATCTATTGAAAGTTGTCCATTTTTGGTCTGATTTATCACACAACAAAATATTTATTTTATATTTTTATATTCAATACAAATTCCATCTCTGAAACTTTTTTTCTAGGCCATGCAGGTGGGAAAAAATTATTAACCAATAGCCAATTAGCATTTTTGGTATTATTTTAGAGTGCTGTTGCAGATAATGCACATATTCTAAAATCTTGCCTCTAAGTAACACACTAATGCTGGATAATGTTAATACGGCAAGTTACATCAACAATATCAAAGAGTCAAATTGAAAAAGAGATGACAAAGTCCACTGAGACACATCAAGACAATCTCAAATCAACTTTTAGCTGCAATGTCCCACACAAAACATTTCAAAAGTGTGTGTATCACCTGCTGTTTCAGGAAGAGGGGTAGACCTCCACAATTCACTGCCAATTCACATTGAGGTCTAGCTAAATTTTGCAAAGGAAACCCACTTTTCACAATCCAATCAACTCCTAATAGATAAAATTACATTAAAAAAATAGTTCTGAAGTAAAAATGAGTTCTGAATGGTAATAAAAATGAGAGCTGAATTCCATTTCATTGAATTAAAAATGAGTTCTAAACGCCATTTCATGTCCACCTTGAAGATCCTAATGGGATAACCAAAGAACTAAATATCCTTTTGAATAATCTAAAAGTTTCATTTCAGTATATCAGTATATTTGTACAGAATATCAGATTCTTAGCAGATGATTTGAGGATCCTTTATGATTCTTATGATGCTTTAAGATAATTCCATTAGAAAAATTCTGCACATTTCTTCTGGATTTTTGGACTAGCAACAGTAACATCACTCATCTAGACTCACCACAGGAGAAAAAAAATAGTTCTGAAGTAAAAATGAGTTCTGAATGGTAATAAAAATGAGAGCTGAATTCCATTTCATTGAATTAAAAATGAGTTCTAAACGTTAAAAAAATATCCTTTTGAATAATCTAAAAGTTTCATTTCAGTATATCAGTATATTTGTACAGAATATCAGATTCTTAGCAGATGATTTGAGGATCCTTTATGATTCTTATGATGCTTTAAGATAATTCCATTAGAAAAATTCTGCACATTTCTTCTGGATTTTTGGACTAGCAACAGTAACATCACTCATCTAGACTCACCACAGGAGAGTGACAAGTGTCTATCTGCGTCGTATTATTTTGTTTTCCCTCTGGCTTTCCTCTAATTTTAAAATGTAAAATTATTATTGTTTGCTGCAGGAGTTCGAGTAGTTAAAAATTCACAGTGATTCAAATCTGCGATACGAATGATACTGCTATAGCATTGTACACATGCATTTAAAGCCTGCAGGCTAGATTAAACATCTGCTGTGAAACCTGTTAAAAACAAGCTTGCATAAGTGTGGTCGTGACTCTATGCACTGCTCTGCACTGCCTACGGGCTTGATATGGATGCTAGTGTTATACGCCAGCGAAAACACAGAAAGGAAGAAAAAGCTATTAAATAATGTTGTCGTGTATAGATGCCAAATTAGTTTCAAATCTTCATTCACACAGCATGAAACAATTGCTGGAATATCCTCTAATGTGTGACTCATAGCTGACTCAAAAAAAGAAAAATGGTGGCTTAATCCAAAATATTACATGATTAGCCTTTTGTTAATGTTTTTTTTATTGGCGAAGATTAGTCACATGCATTCTGTAAACAAGCACACATGTTCATCAACACTCATGTGCAAACATCTATAAAATCAACAGCTGCCCGTATTTTAGTCAACTGAGGGGGAAAAGAAATGACAGGAACCTCATCTCTTTCACACGTCTCTTACGTCCACACATGTGAACATCGACCCGCCAAGCCACATCCTACCCATCAACACGAACGTGTAAACATTCATTAGACCGATCGGAAGAGCCTTCACCTTTTTCCGTCTCTCAGAGGGCCCCATGTGCATTCAAAAGCAGGGAGAGGAAGGCTAATGAAAAGCCCTTCTGCTGCAGCTTCGCATGAAAACAGAAGCAGAGAGAAAAGCAAAGCATTGCTTATTAACTGGCTTTTGTTTTGGTATTTCGCGGGTGTGCGTCACGCTTATCAGCAGCTTGAAGGGCTCTCTGCCTCCCGCTCAACCCACTCACAGCTCCTGTGTACTGGAGTCTAAAAACATTCTCCCCACCACTATCTGCTACTGTAACTACAACAAACTGTATAACATTTCAAGGTTTTTGGATATAGATCTGAGGTAGTTTCTTGCAGCAAGACTTTTGATAATCATAGTCTGCTCCACATTGCAGCCGGCCACTTGAAAGAATATTCCAGGTTCAATCCTATTGACAGCATTTGTGGCATAATGTTGATCACCACAAAAATAAATAATTAAATAAATACTTAATCAGAAATTTAAAGCTTTATTTTTATACATTTTTTATAAAAGTGTTGCTTTTTTACAGTGGTTTTAGGGTTTTAAAGGTTATGTGGTCATGGTAACGAAGTTGTAAAACTGGATATAGCTTTACAGGAAAAGGTTAATATGTTTATATTCATATTGTTTTTGTCTTGTGGCTATACTGTTATTAACAAACTAAAACTATTGAAAATCACTTTTGTTCAATGAAAACAAAAAAACTGAAATAAAATATAAATATTTAAACTTAAAAAACAAACCACAATTAGAAATGCTGCCTTGGTAATTAACTGAAGTTTTTAAATGACTGAAACTGAAATAACAAAGCGAAACAGAAATATAAAAAAATAATAATAGTAAAAATTACAAAAGCACATAACAAAATTATTAAATGTTAAACTAAAATATAAAAGTAAAGGCCTATTTAAAATATGAATAAATACTTTTGTAGTGTTACGGGGCTGACGAGACGTGAGACGTGCGGATCCATGTGCAAACTTTATTGTGGAGAAGACAGAGACGGTCAAAACAGGCATGGGTCAGATAGAGGCAGACAGGTATATGGTGGGCAAAACACAAGAATAGTCCTAGGGCTAGCGCAGGTCGACGATCGGCAGACAGAATCAAAAAGGGCAAGACAATGTAGTGTATAAATAATACCAAAAATAACACTGAAATAGTTCACTTCCGTTATAAGTGTCTCATTGTAACCCGTTTTGTTTTGTTTTTTAGAAAATGAGGGACACGGCAAAATTAATTTTTGATCAGGTTCACACTGATCCAACAAAAACAAAAATGTAGTTTTGTTAGTGCAGTGTGAATTAGACATCAGACAAGATAAAGCTGTCTGGGAATCATGTAAAGCTACCAATCCCACTTTCTTTTTTTTACATGACATTTAAGGGAAGAATAATCTTAAATCAGATATAACACTGTAGCAGCCTGGGAACTTGTAAACACAACTCCCAGTGGACTGATAAAATCCTCCGCACCCTGACTTTGAGAATAGGGCCCTGCAGAATAGGGGCTTGCAGTCTTATGACCTTCATTTTAAATGTTTCTTTGATGTTCGCAGGACTATATGTCACATTTGTCGTTTTATTATTCATAAGGGTCTTCATAAGCACCCCCTTTGTGGCCACACTGGTGCAGATTTCACCACACTATCGACTGCTATTGCCTCTGTGCAATCACTTCATCAAAATGTGGAAATGGAGTGCAAGGGCTGAGGGTGTCCATTGCTGTGTGCATCGTAAACATTATGCAAGAACAGAATTAGTACTTCTGAAATCACTAGTACGCAAAAGGTGCCTGGATGATATTCTATTTGTGTGCATCCATGCTAGAGATGTGCTGCAAGGATTGGCTGGTACCTGTCTAGTTGGTGGTACTCCAGCGATGATTGGTGGCGTATCTAGGAGGAGGTTTCAGGACCCTGAAGAGTCTCTCAGTGGGACAAACACCTGCAAACAGATCACATCACAGAAACACTTCTCTTAGCTGCAAAATATATACATTATATTTTAAATATGTTGCTGATGAAGAAAATATCTGTTATAAATGTGTGAGGAAGAACACATGGGACTGTTACTAAAAGGGGTCATATGATGCGATTTAAATGCCATGTCGTGAAGGCACTGTGTTTCGTTGTGAAAGCGAAACTACTTTGTTTGGTCTCCCAAAAGAGGACGATATCCGCTTCATCATGCCTGGAGCTGATCCGTGCTGGTCGCTGAGGAAATACATCAACTTCGCGCTGTCGATCGCCGGATTGGCTTTCACCGTGGACCGTTTTCAAGCCCGCCGCCTCTGCTCACTCAAGCCGGCCTCCACATACTCTAGGCCGCGGCTCACTCTAGGCCTCCGGCCTCCACTCACTCAAGGCCGCAGTGAGTGACGCTTTTTCGTTGTGAAAGCGAAACTACTTTGTTTGGCCTTCCAAAAGAGGACACGACTAGAAATCAGTGGTTAAGTTGTATTTACAACACTGTTCCAGAACAGTTTAACCCAAATATTCAGATGTGTCCAGCGCATTTTATGGAGGACTGTTTCCTGATCCTGGTAGAGTAGACTGTAAGTAAGTTTTTTTATATTTAAAGAATTTGCCACTGACGATTCAAACGGGCAGAGTAGAGTAGCATTTGTTGTTTGTCATTTCTCCGATCACAAATGCAGACATGGTTTTATGTTACGCTGGACAGGGCATCACAATATGGTAAGGGGCGTAACATTTCCATCACACGCTTGAGGTATTCGGCCAATCACAACGCACTGGATAGCTGGCCAATCGGAGCACACCTCGCTTTTTCAGACCGATGAGCTTTGTAAAAGCTTTGTTTCAGAAAGGCGGGGCATTGAGGAGAAACAATAATGTCTAGTATGTGGAAAATAATGTGTTTTTTGAACCTTAAACCGCATAAGCACATTTCATTATACCAAATACACAAAATAATGTTCTTTTTAGCAACATCATATGAGGATAGCTGGCCAATCGGAGCACACCTCGCTTTTTCAGACCGATGAGCTTTGTAAAAGCTTTGTTTCAGAAAGGCGGGGCATTGAGGAGAAACAATAATGTCTAGTATGTGGAAAATAATGTGTTTTTTGAACCTTAAACCGCATAAGCACATTTCATTATACCAAATACACAAAATAATGTTCTTTTTAGCAGCATCATATGACCCCTTTCATGAGATCATAACCTAGGCAATCAGCGTACAATTGCATACGACACACACACCTGGACAAACCACAGAGATAGGCCTTCATTATAGCACACACATTAGTGTTAAATTGCACACCTATAGAAAACAAAAACCCTCCATTCTCTCGTTTTGCCTACACAGCCAATATGTTCATCATATGCATGCTATCAGTATGAATGCTTATCATGCTTTGCATTTTCAGTTCCAGTTTTCAGTGTTACATGATCCTTCAGAAATTATACTAATATGCAAATTTTCTGCTTAAGAAACATTTCTTATTATCAATGTTGAAAACAATTGTACTGCTTAAAAACATGAACTCAAACTAATAGTTAATTCAAATTTTAAATGTTATTTAACCCAATGTTTATTATTTAACCCAATATTCGAAATCAGTCACTCATATTTTAAGATGCTGCCTTAGTAGAAAGTTGCCTTTATAGACTATAAACAGCTCAAAGTAGGGCTGCACGATATATATCGAAATTATCGAAATATCGCAAATGTAAATATCGCAATATGCATATCGCAATGGCGTGCGATATCATTCTCATTTTAATAATAGGCTATTCAAATCAAAACGTTGCAAAAGGTCAAAGTTTTAGTTCGACGCATATAGCAGAGAATTGCTTGAAGTTAAAAAGAGTTAAGTGTTTGCTGCAGGAGAACTGAATACACACTGAATTATGTCAATAGTACCCGTCTCGACGATCATTCTCGTAAACGCAGTCAGTTATGTTTTAAATTAATGTAAACAGCTGAGAAAGAAATCGGATGTGTATCATTATACTGGATCCGTGCAGTCTGTTTTAAAGGGACAGCAGCCTATAAATACTGCTGCTGAATGTGTCACTAATGTTAACAAAACAACAAAATGGCTATAACAAAGATTAATCTAAATTTAATTCATACAGTGAACACTATGCCGTGTTATTTTACACTTAATTATTAAATCTCTGTACCTGAATACTACTGTTTATTTTATCTATGCTTGTAAATTTTTCTTTCTTTTTTTTACTGACTGTTCACTTGCCTTTAATCATGTTTGAACTTTCTCAGACTATAGTTTTTGCTGTGGTATATGAAGAAGTACTTAAAGTGTGTGGAAAGCAAAGTTACAATGATATAAAATTAGTGTCATAAATTTTTTTGTTTGTATGTTCACATTGATGTTCAATTACATTTTCTGATTTGTGACATTACTTTTTAAGTAATGCTAAAACACTGCTGGTCACTTTCAGAAGTTATAGTGATTCTTTATTTTCCAAGAAAGAATATGAAATAAATAGGTTATATGATTTTCATTTTTAAATATTTTTAAATATCATTTAAATTTATTTTACACACTTTAAGCAATATCGCATCGCATATCGAATATCGCACTTTTAGCAAGGTATCGCATATCGCATTTTTCTTCAATATCGCACAGCCCTAGCTCAAAAGTTTTGAAACAGCATTTATCTCCTTCACACACGCCATGGCCATAAAGAAAGCCTGACATAGATTTTCACTTCATCATTCTGAAAGCCATTCGTGGGCATACACAAGTCTCTGATGGAGGCACAAGAGAACATCTCCACAGGCCTGAACTAAATAAAGAGCTCCAGTTATCAGCGTATGACAGCGGCTCTGACACAACAGTCACCTCTGCTTAACTCCATTCACAGTGCTTCAACATGTCTTTATTATGGAGCATAATGTACTTATGACTGCAGCTTTGGTTCCAGATAAACCTGAACAACTCCATATTCCCATTAGCTTTTGGGACTGTTTGTGCGAGTGATAGAGTTATAAAGAGTGTAATAACTAGCCTAGAAAAGCTTGAAGAGAAAAGATGGATATACTGGGGTATATATCCATTATCCATCAACTCCTATAAAACAGCACTGCAGTGGTGCAATGGTGGCATCAGGATAGGCATGCATGGATGGATGGATGGAGGATGCATTATTGTGGATTATGGACTCGTATTTTGGCCAGAACCGACGTTTTAAAATTAAAACACTGTTATAATGGATTTGTTGCTTACAAACATGCAGCTTTTCACTTCACAAAATGTTAATTGATGTACTGGAGTCATGCGGATTACTTTTAGATTATTGTGATCTTTTTATCAGCTGTTCGGACTCTCATTCTGACGGCACCCATTCACTGCAGAGGATCCATTGGTGAGCAAGTGACGTAATGCTAAATTTTTCCAAATCTGATTCAATGAAGAAACAAACTCATCTACATGTTGGATGGCCTGTGGGTGAGTACATTTTCAGTAAATTGTCATTTTTGGGTGAACTATTCCTTTAAATGTGCATGCTATTACACCAAAAAGCAATCATTTTAAATGCTACAAGTGAATTTAGTCATCACAACATTATAATGTATGATTAAAAAAATAAAGGTATTTATTTTGAGATTAGCTAAAGATTACATTTAACAATGTTAATTATTTCGTTTAGGATTAAAAATAATATTAATGCTGGGAAATGCATGCAAAAAGTTAATAACTTGGCAAAATAATACAAATAGCAGGTCTAAATGTACCTTTATCTATCCTTCTATCTACATTGTGTATCCTATTCTGGAGGGTCAGAACTCTGAACTCTGAAGTTAGAGCTCTGACTTTCTGCTTGTGCTTCCGGGGATATGAGGTGGAAAATGCAGCGTTTTCCTCTCTGCCACCAGATAATATACAGGCACTCCACACACTGACTCACACTGCATGAGGGCTTTTCACGGCATGTTCACACTAAGAACTCCAACGAGACAGCGTAATACCACCCTTGCAGGCACAGAGAGCCCCACATGGGTCCCAGAACCAGCAAACTGACATACTGTGTGTGAATCCTTTACACACACTAACACAGAGAAGCAAACAACTGTTATGTATACACACTGAAAACACAAGTACAACACAAGTATATTTTGTTTATATTTATATTATTTATATTATAATATATTATTTATATTATATTTATATTACTGTAAAATATTTTGTTTATTAAATCATCAGGGGTCAGAAAAAAAATGGTCATAATATAATTAAATATATACTATATGGTATTCTCAATATACATTGTACCTTACATCAAAAATAAAATTATTATTATTATTATTTGTAATGCATGTATTACTTTGCAGATCTTTCCTAAAGTTACTGTTCAGTTTAATTTACTTACCAAATCCAATTCTTACTCGTACTGGCACTTGTCGAGTGTTAAGTTTGGACCCTGCATACTAAGCAGTGAAGGCAGGGGAGGACAGTGAGAGGGAGGAGGGTGGGCCCTGTGCTGTCTGGAAAAGATCTGCGTTAACCGCAGGCTCTGGTGTGGCCATCTCGCTTTCTTTTCAGGATGTCATTATGTGATTTTCAGAGCAAGCAGTGTCTAAATTAGCCCTGTGCCTCCCTCAACTAAACTCACTGACTACACAACCCAAAAAGAGAAAGAGAGAGAAAAAAAGAACTGCATTAACTTGGAGAAACTCCAAATTAAGCACATTATTCAAAAACCTCAAAATGGCAGAAGCCAGAGTGAAAAATAGACACATGACAACATGCTGCTTAATGGATGAATGTTCAGAGCAGATCTGCATGTCTAAAGCAGGAAGACTGGCAGATGGCGTAAATATGCTTCTGCTGAACTGCTATCTCACCCCAGCACTGTGGTCTATGAACACGACACGTCCAACAGACGTTCTTTATGCACTCTATAACATGCGTTTTATTACGTTCTCTCGCTTAATGCTCTTCAACTTTATATGTC